GATAAGATCACGTAACTGCTGTGCAACGTTATCATTAGCATCACTAGGAGTAGAGGCAGTCGGCCCAACAGGATGTTCTGGTACGGTATCAGGCGATTGGGGACTGTAGACTAATACTCTAGGTTTACCAATGACAGGTTCGTCCACCCTCAACAGCCCTCTACCCCTCCCAAGATATGGAGTTATCATATCGTAGTCTTTCCTTACACCAGCCATAGTATAAATTTACAACAATGACAGAACAAAAAAAAACTGATCCAGAGAATGTCCAATAAGTATGATGAGGAAAAACAACAGTTCAATAAGTCAGTCCGCAAAAGCAAAAAAGTAATTTCTTTTTCTTTTTTACAGTTACCAGTTCAATGGCGAAATTGATTCCACAGCTTCCGCATGCAGCATCCAGGCATCACAAACTCGTTGCACAACTCCGGCGATCGGCTGCGGCCAATCCAGTAGGTCACGGCACCATTTTTATGTAACAGTTTTACTCTGGTTGTGTTTGTTTTCTATTCAATACAGACAACGCCGATTGAAGAGGTCTCAGGATCTTTATTCTGCAGAAATACAGAGCACAATTAATATATTCTTTTTTGTGGGATACACGATACACGTCTCTCCCCTTCAGTCTCATACAGCTCATACAGCACGGAGAAAGCAGCCCGCTCGTCAGATGAGCGAGAGAGAGCACACCCGACCCCGTCAGCGGCAAATGTGCTTCTAAAGATGGCGCTGTCCGCACATAGCACGAGGTATCGTATGCGTCACCAATATGTGCCCCATATAAAACAATATTCTGCATAAATGGTTCCCACTAGAACTATGTACGTTGTACCGGATTACAACTCAGCACACAAATATGAAAACAAAAATAATTAAGTTTTGATGAAGTTCACTAACAATCTTCATTACATTTCACAATTTTTTAAACCAGCTACATATGCGCGCATCGGGTTTATATGTATGTGCGAGTGTTTATAGGTGTATATGCATGGAAGTTTATATGTATATGCGAGTATTTATAAGCTGTATACGTGCGTCAAGTTTATATGTATATGCAAGTTATTCACAAGTTTATATGCATTCATTACTGACATAATATGTATTGGTATGAATTTCATATTAGTGTGCACGTGTATTTCATATGTATTTTGAACATCCAATAGTATACATGTATATGCGAGTAATTTATAGGTGTACTGTATATGCACGTGTGTTATGCATGTATTGATAAGCGAAGTTTGATTTAAATCCTACGTGGCGCCTCATAAGTAGTCATAGTTGGGTAAACTTGTATAGAAGTGAATGAGAGAATACATATATATTTTCACTTCCTAACATTATTAAGAGGGAGAAATTCAGCGGTTTTATTTCCAACATGCACTCATTCATGGCTTATTTATTATAAGCTTTATCTGGGACATGACTTGATGGATTACGTGATTTCGTCTTTATTTCTTAGTGTGGTAGAAAGGGGGACACTGAGACCTAAAAAATGCTGGGTTGGTTTAACCCAATTTTGGGTCAAATACGGACAAACCCAAACGTTGGGTTAAAAATGTAATTAAAAAATGTAACCCAATGGCTGGGTTTGTCCATATTTGACCCAAAATTGGGGTGAAACAACCCAGCATTTTTTAGTCCGGTAAGGGTGTTAAGATCAATAATTGTCACAGAAATTATACCAAGTGAAAGAACTCAACTTAATTTATAGTTTTGTTTTCTACTGTTTTATTTTTTATGGTGTTTTAATGAGTTTTTGAACTCGGGTGTTTTAAGTGTGCTCCGCATATATGTCGAGTGAGTCCCTCTTTTTGACTAGACATTTGTAGGGAAGTAGCCTAATGATGGTGTTCATGACAATGAAGGATTGCCGAGTTGTTTGTTTAAAGGTGTTTGTTCTTGTTATGTATTGACTTGACTATTGCAATAGTGAGGTTCCTTTCCTAGGGAGGGCGTTCTTGTTTTAAATATGTGTTTTTGGCCAGAGTGTTTTCTGAGGTCGGCCAAGCTAGTTGTATGTCCTATGTTGCCTTGAGTTCAGTAAAGGTTCACAAAGTTACGAACGTCTCCTCATGTTATTGAAGTATATTACAGCGCACGGTGTGGATGCAGTGGTTTGGTGTGAGGGATGTCACATATAGGTAAATGCTGTGGTGAATGAATTATTTGTTTGGAGTATGATTCATTTCTTTACTCCACTTGTACCTCGGCGTACTGCCTGGCTGTTTTATTTTGTTCTTTTTGATTATTAGGTTTCTTTTATGTGTCCATATGGAAGGGACTTAAATAAAACTGCTGTGTAAAAGCAAGCGTATCAATAATATCAAAATCCTGACTGCTGGTTCATTTCATACATGATTTACCTGTGAGCTCTTTAAGTGGGCGAGGTTACATTAGTGCCAGTTACATTTAAAGTAGGCTACATATCAAGCGTTAATGTATTGGCTATTATGTTAAAATAAGTGTATTAAATAAGGGAGGTCAGTTATTTTACCTTTGAACACCGTTGATGATGACATCTCTCCTCAGACGCAGTGCTTTAATGGCAGTCTTGTGTGCAATTCTCGAAATATCCACAAGAAAGCAGCATTTATCGTGAATCTGATATTACAAAACCTATAAAAAAATCCTTAAATATCTGGAAAAATATCAATAAAAAATGATTATCTGTCGATCAAATCTGGTTCCTGCTACATCAGCGATACAGAGGAACTTAGATTCAGTGATTCAGATTCATAGTAACTGAATAATAACTAGAGATTTTGAGGCCCAAAAAAAGTGCTTACATCCATCATAAGTAATTCATACGGCTCCAGGGTTAAAAAAGCCCCTCTGAAGTGAAACCATGCGTCTTTATAAGAAAAATATCCATATTTATAACTTTATAATCACTGGCTTCCAGTAACGGCCGTACAAGAGTCTAGTTTTATCTGAAGAGTGACCTCTGACCCGACACTTTATCGCGGATGGAGTGAATTTCTTCACTGAAGATATTCACTTCACTATTTTCTACTGTAATGCTTCGGCAATGAGACGCTTCGTAAAGGCTTTGTGGCTCTTGTAGTAGCAGCAACCAAGAAGATGTAAGACAAATCTTACAAGAACAGTTGAGATTTATTTGGAGTTAATCAGAGTCACTTCAGGTTATTACGAGCATCCAGGGTTAAAGGTGCTATATGTATTTTTTAGCGGCCTCTATCGGTCATGTTTCAGATTGCAACCATTTTTTACAAGAGCGCTCGTACTCGAACACAAGAGCGAGCACTACCGGCCACACTGAGACTTTCAACACACCGGAGAAAGCATCACACAACATGCTGGAAACTCATGTAAACTCCCACTGCAACGTTACAATAATAGGCTACTTTTTTCAGCTTGACGTTGAACTAATGCTCCATGCTCGTACCATGATAACGTTACATTTGTGGTGTTATCTAGCATAAGGCATTTCACTAACTATTCGTGCATCTTTCACAATCAGCAATGTCAACATAGGTGAATATGTAATATGATAACGAAAACGGTTAGTGAACTAGACTGAACAATTTCAGTGTAACAGTAAGATCGTAGGAAGTAACATTACTGTACTGAACGTGTCTGTACATGTGTATTATAAACAATATGATAGTAGTGGGATGAGTGACGTTAGACAGTAGATCCAGTACATAAAATAAAAGTTACATCCTAAAGCACCTACTTTTTGTTATCCTGGAACAGTCTTTTGTATTCATTTCATGCCTCATGTATGTTGTAGTTTACCTTGCTATTTCATTACAGTTTACCATTATTTATATCAGCATATCTGAAAACTTGTAATTTATCATAATAAAAATAGCGGAGGTCTCTCCATAATTCAAACGCTCTGCCGATGTTGATCCGTGTTTTTGTCCTAAGTCGATCCGATTGACGTTTGGCCTGACGAGCTTCAGCAGAGACATTTTTGTTTTGTTTTTTATATTTCTGTGGAGTTTGTGCTGGAGTGTGTGTTGTGCTGGAGGCAGGTCGTGTTTTGGTGTTATCAGACTCATGTCGTCAGCTGCAGTGCCGTCACATAGACTGTATATAAGGAGAGAGGCTCGGGAGCGCATGCACAAAACACATCCGATGGATTTCGCAGAAAATCCGACCCGGAGACTTCACATAGAAATAGGAATACTGGCCTTCAGAGGTAATAGCAGAACCCGACAAGTGGATTATTGTAATGTGTGATTACAACCCCTTCACACACAGGCAATACAAAAAGGATTCATTTTAGAAGAAAAGTTACATAGAGCACCTTTAAGTCGCAATAAATAATAAATAAAAACATGACTCCCAGCCCAAAACTAAATACATAAACAACTTCACAAACAAAGAATAGCTCCGATAAATGTTTTATTAAGATGTAGGAAATAATATGTAAAGTTGAGAGCTTCACAGTAACAAAAGAAAGACCAGTGGGTGTATAAACCTCAGGGTGACCCACGGCCCACAATAACACAAAAGTAGTCAATATATAAAAAGACAAAATAACTTATATCAAAGAAAAAACTACACTATTAATGCCATCCATTCCAATGAAGACAGATGGAGGATCGTACTCAGGACACACAACATATACAATAATAAATGCATAATATAAAAGAACAAAAACATACATACGTAACAATGTGAAGAGAAGTGTGCACTATATCATTTGAGCTTGATGATCAGTTCTTTCTCAACACAGCCACATATCCACATATCCAATTACAAAAGTTTGTGCACACTTTAGGTTATTTTAATCTTTTTTTCTGAAATGTGGCATTTCGTAGGTTCTGATATGATTTATTTTTTACAGAGGCATAGACATTTTTTATATCCACTGTATGACCAAGTAAAACAAGAAATCAGCTTACAACCTGTGCTCTTAATGCTTCAGATGAAGTTAATGTACGATATGAAAAGGTATATACTTCGATTTTTAGAAAGATGTTTGATAAAGTGTTAGCTGCCATGGGTTTCAAAAAGTAAAACTGCTATAAAAGAATCACAAAATCATATAGCATGATATTACATTGTTATAAATGTAAAAACAAAACACAAAGCATGCAGTATATGGAAATTGGACTTGTCTTGTTAGCTCTAGTTCTAAATACAGACATGAAAAATTAAAGCATATTTTGTTAGGTCAAACTGTTCCTCATTAAAGGCTGGGCCTCGTCTCTGCCGACATGGGACGCCGTCGGGAGCCTCGGAAACTCTGGATACATCGTTTCATTGTTCTGCTGAAGAAGAGAAGCTTTTACTTCCCAAATATTACACTTGAATTATGTTTTGTTGCTAAATATGTATTTGTAGAGTATTGCTATTGTTGTATTGCTGCAGCCACAAGCCTTAGAGACTCTGGGATATGCAATGCAACCAATTTAAGTCTTCAAGTAAAATGTGTATGCTGGCTGCCTCTGTGCCGTTAGACACACACATATACATATACATATACATATATATATATATACACTCACCGGCCACTTTATTAGGTACACCTGTCCAACTGCTCGTTAACACTTAATTTCTAAGCAGCCAATCACAAGGTGGCAACTCAGTGCATTTAGGCATGTAGACATGGTCAAGACAATCTCCTGCAGTTCAAACCGAGCATCAGTATGGGGAAGAAAGTTGATTTGAGTGACTTTGAACGTGGCATGATTGTTGGTGCCAGAAGGGCTGGTCTGAGTATTTCAGAAACTGCTAATCTACTGGGATTTTCACGCACAACCATCTCTAGGGTTTACAGAGAATGGTCCGAAAAAGAAAAAACATCCAGTGAGCGGCAGTTCTGTGGGCGGAAATGCCTTGTTGATGCCAGAGGTCAGAGGAGAATGGCCAGACTGGTTCGAGCTGATAGAAGGGCAACAGTGACTGAAATAACCACTCGTTACAACCAAGGTATGCAGCAAAGCATTTGTGAAGCCACAACACGCACAACCTTGAGGCGGATGGGCTACAACAGCAGAAGACTCCACCGGGTACCACTCATCTCCACTACAAATAGGAAAAAGGGGCTACAATTTGCAAGAGCTCACCAAAATTGAACAGTTGAAGACTGGAAAAATGTTGCCTGGTCTGATGAGTCTCGATTTCTGTTGAGACATTCAGATGGTAGAGTCAGAATTTGGCGTAAACAGAATGAGAACATGGAACCATCATGCCTTGTTACCACTGTGCAGGCTGGTGGTGGTGGTGTAATGGTGTGGGGGATGTTTTCCTGGCACACTTTAGGCCCCTTAGTGCCAATTGGGCATCGTTTAAATGCCACGGCCTACCTGAGCATTGTTTCTGACCATGTCCATCCCTTTATGGCCACCATGTACCCATCCTCTGATGGCTACTTCCACCATGTCACAAAGCTCTAATCATTTCAAATTGGTTTCTTGAACATGACAATGAGTTCACTGTACTAAAATGGCCTCCACAGTCACCAGATCTCAACCCAATAGAGCATCTTTGGGATGTGGTGGAACGGGAGATTCGCATCATGGATGTGCAGCCGACAAATCTGCGGCAACTGTGTGATGCCATCATGTCAATATGGACCAAACTCCCTGAGGAATGCTTCCAGCACCTTGTTGAATCTATGCCACGAAGAATTGAGGCAGTTCTGAAGGCAAAAGGGGGTCCAACCCGTTACTAGCATGGGGTACCTAATAAAGTGGCCGGTGAGTGTATATATATATATATATATATATTTACTGTGAGCTGCATTTTGAAATGCATGTGATGAAGGCATTGCTGACATGGCCCAGAAGAAAAAGCGGTCCCACTTTATATTAAGTGGCTCTAAGTACTATGTACTTACATCTAAAAGTAGGTACAATGTACTTATTGTGTTCATGTTGTATTGGGTAAGGTTAGGGTCAGGTGTGTGTGGTATGGGAAGGTTTAAGGGTGGGTTAAGGTGTAAGGGAAGGGGCAACAGTGTAATTACATGTAATTACATAAATTAATTGCATGCAGGTATTTTCAAAATAAAAGTACAATGTAAAAACATGTAAGTACACAATGAGTCCATTGTATCAAATTATTAATTTCAATGTTAGTACATAGTAGTTAAAGCCACTTAATATAAAGTGGACCGAAAAATCAAAGTAAAAAAGTTTGCAGAGTCCTCTCCTATACCTCTTGTTTGTTTATGAGCCTCTTAAAACAATTATTACGATACAATTATGTTTATGAGCCTCTTGGTAAAACAATTGTTAAAGCAATTCAGTGGGACAGTTTACATACTCTGAAATTCTCTGCTTGTGTGCTGTGGATGAGTCCCAAAATGTTAATAATCATTTTTAGTGTTGCATTAATTAATTCAATTTTGTAAGCACATTCAGTTCTTTTTAAGAGGACCAAAATAATTTATGTAATTACTGAGTTTTGCGATTTGCGTGCAACTATTTGTAAAATGCAAAGGGGAAGGGCAGGGCAGGACACCCCTGAGAAACCATCATGCTACTGTGTTAAATACAGCAACATAAGCTCAGGAGAACTTTGGAAAACAGTTGTCATTTAACATAGTCTGCTTCTGCATCAGGAAATGCAACTTGAACCTATGTTACACAAGAAGAAAGCACAACACTCCTGCGCAGAATCATCAGCAAGCTGACTCTAGATAGCGTAGTGAATGTTTATATCGTTTTTAATGACTGGAATGCTAAATATCATTTTGTTTTTAATAAGATTTTCCTAATAAATAGGCATGTTGTCCTCAATGATTCCTGTTCTTTCTGACAACAAAGCACTTGAACGCGATGAGCTCGTAATACCGACTTCAGAAGTGGGAAGCAGGAGATTTCCGAAAGCACATAAAGGCAGCGTAAATCCCATGGAGAATGTTTTAGTGATGTGATACACAGCAAAATCCATAGTGTTAAATTAAGACTATTCAATGTCGATATGGGTCCAATCTACAGAGTATAAAAAGTAACACTGAAGCAACTGCTGTTAATAAGATAATTGAGTTATGATTGACCATTAGTGATTAACACCTGCTGTTAACAAGCATAATCACTGAGGAACAAGAAGAACGGAAAAACATTTCATAAAAGAGCACATTAAATCTCTCAGATCTCAGCAGAGGATAATTAAACAACTCCAAAACAGCATTACCATCTCCACTTATTACAATACAGTTTAATTTAATTTATTACATGTCTAAAGTTCTAACTCCTTATTTATTTGAATTAACATAAGTTTAGATCTAGTCAGTGTTGATGTTTTATTGAATATGTTGAAAAGGTCATTTGAAGTCACCATTATGGTGATTAGTGTTTCCTTTAGCAATCGAAATGTTTCCTCTTTCAGCAATTGCCATATGTTTTCAAAGAACATTTATGTAATGCTAAAGAAAGACATTGGAGAGATGAAAAAGCTTTAAGGTTAAGCTTGTGTTTTGGGAATAAGCCTGGAATTTTCCTCAGAAGAATAATGCGATGTGCGGCCTGATCCAGAGGAGGATATCATTTCTGACGAGTAATTAATTTATTCTTACTTACATTTGTTAGTGTTATTTTTACACAAACTTGTGTACATTTTACCAGTTGGGCTTTTGCCAAACTATGTTGCCAGACTGAAATGTGTGAAACTGAGTGAAACATATTGAAATATGAAATATATAGGCAGATTGTGCCTATATATTTGGTGACAGAACTATGAATATATAAATATGTCACTTTAAATTGAGGTGGACTTCCACAGGTTATTAGTGGTGCTTGCCGAAGGCTAGGCACTACTATTGTTATTGCTCATACTTAAACTTCGGCACGCTACTCCTCCCGCACCGTTTGTCGTAGACCAATGAATGAGGTGTCAAATAGACCGGATTCAAACTTTTCGAAGCGATCGGGTGTACAATGTTCGTCCGGCGGGCGATAAATCGGCAGAAAAAACTTCCATAGACTTAACATTGGCACAAAATCTGTAAGATCATATCTTTGGGTGTCTAATTTTTTTGGTCTAAATTAAGTCAGTCTTTATTTTTGTGAAACAGTCTAACTTGCATTAGACTAGTCAATGAGCAAATTTTTGTCTTGTCTTACACTATAGACCGGTCTAAAATAGCTTTGTGAAACCGGCCCCAGGAAAACCAGGACACAGGCCCACGGCGGAGTCAAGGGAGGGAGGAGACTTGACAGGCGGAACCAGGGACACGCCTGGGTTTGTCCATATTTGACCCAAATTTGGGTTGAAACAACCCGGCATTTTTTAGAGTGTAAGTTACGTTTTTAAGCTAACCCTATGATAACTTAAATAACTTTCAACAAACCTTTTATTAACATTACTGGAAGAATGTTTGTTTATAACCTTCAGAGAACCTTGCCAGAATATTAGCCAAAGTTTTAAGGACGTTCTCTGTTCGCTGGGAGACTACACTGTGTCAAAATAGAAAATCAGCCAAATAAATTATAAATACAAGAAGCGTGGCTATATTTTGTTTGGTTTTACACCAGAGGAAATTGTTCTAACATTGAGCTTTGACGCCTCACCTGGCTGGATTGCTTTGGCAGCAAATTTGCAATAAATGCTCTGATGTTGGCAAAGGTGGGACGCAGAGTTGGTTCCAGGCTCCAGCACGTTTTCATCATCGTGTACCTACAGAAGGACAAGTCACTTGCTTAGTATTTATTGTTTCTTTTCTAAAACTTTACAAATGCGTATAAACTCACATTTCATGAGGGGCAAAATCTGGTTGTGGCATGTGATAACCATCTTTAATCATCTTATAGAATTGTGCATCAATCACAACATTAGGGTAAGGACTCATACCTAAAAAGACAGAAAAAAAGCACCATAATACCAACACAATACCTTCATGAAATGATAATTTTAATAGGTATGAACGAGTAAATTCACTTACCCAAGGAAAAGATCTCCCACAAAAGGACACCATATGACCAGACATCACTCTGTACTGTGTAAAGACATTCAAAAATGCTTTCAGGTGACATCCATTTTACTGGCAGCCGAGCCTGTAGAACAAGTGGAACACAGTGTAAAAGGTCAAGTCACCTTTATTTATACAGCGCTGTTTACAACACAGAGTGTTTCAAAGCAGCTTTACAGAGATAACCAATGCAACAAAGTTTGTTAGAGCTTTGTAAATAGAACATCAGTAAGATTCAATTTAAAACAATTTAATTGCACAAACTATGTAGGCTACAATTTGTTTATTGTAAAATAGCTCAAACATATTTTTTTCTGTCTTCTGTTACGCATTTTTGAATCATTGATCTATATAATGCAATATATAGATCAGTGGTTTGAATGCATTGTTGGCAGTTTGTGAACACTCTCTGTGATTGATTGGTTCTGACTTGCAGCATTTGCGTGTGTTCAGTTCAGATATAAAGCAGGGAAGTGGTTCTACTACACAATTATTCACTAACATAGGTTATTCATCCAGTTCAATGCATATTGTATGCATTAGAATTCTTGTCAAACAAAATCACTGGTACAAAAAAAAAACCTATAGTAGTATCGATATTTTTATTTGAGTATCGATACTTTTGATTCTTGACGTCAGTATCGATATATCGCCCATCAGGTCCTGGCATTCATGAGAATGTTACTTTGACACATTCCACCTACCAAAAGATTGTTGCAGACAACGTACATGGCCAAGATATACTCTGATAGCAGTGTCTCTTTCAGCAGGATAATGCACCCTGCCACACTGCAAAAAATGTTCAGGAATGGTTTGAGGTACATGACAAAAAATTCAAAGTGTTGGCTTCCAAATTCCCCGGATCTTAGCAAACCAAGGAATCCGATCCATGGAGGCCTCACTTTGCAACGTGCAAGACTTAAAGGATCTGCTGCTAATGTCTTGGTCCCGGAGACCACAGTACACCTTCAGAGGTCTTGTGGAGTTCATGATTCGATGCATGAGACCTTCACAATATTAGGCAGGTGGTAGGCCCTCAGTTTGGCCTAAAACACACAAGTGCATCTTAAAGGGATACTCCACCAGTTTTTCTTATTAAACTATGTTATTCCCTTAACTAAGACGAGTTGATACATACCTCTCTCGTCTCAGTGCGTGCACTATATCGCTCTGTATTGCCGCAAAACTATGTTAGCACTTAGCTTAGCCCATGCATTAAATATGGGCCAAGCAGAGAAGCGACCAAACACTTCCACGTTTTCCCTATGTAAACACAGTTACTCGAGTAGTGTAACTTGACCTGGGCTGGTGACACAAAATAAACCGTTGCGCTTTTCTAAGCGTTTAAAATTGATGACTATATTATATGGCGGAATACCATAACAAGTGCTTTTGAGCAGTTCGACTTGGCGCAATAATATCTTCACTAGTGAAAAGTCCTCTTACCGGCTCCCGCTTCCTCTCCCCCTCCCTCTGACATTTCCGTCAATACAACGTGACATGCGCCGGTAGTAGTAGTTCGAGCGGAGTTGACGAAGTAACAGGTTGTTGGAAGCTAGTTAGCATTCTAAACAGCACAGGCTCTCAATTTCGGTCGGCATCTGTTCGCAACAGTCACACTTGCACCACCAATTGCTGTTTGCCCGTGGTCTTTCGCCAGCTCCGGTCTGTTCTGGATCATATCTTTCTTTCCTCTCACGGTCCATAAGAGCTAATTCCTCCTCCGTGTACTCGGGTTCAAACAGATATGGCTCTGGGTCTTCTACAAAGAAGTCATAATCATCTACAAAGTCCGCCATTGCAAATGATCTGCAGTTTGCTAATAGCACAGGTAGTAAAAGCCACGTTGGTTGTATTGACGGAAATGTCAGAGGGAGGAGGAGAGGAAGCGGGAGCCGGTAAGAGGACTTTTCACTAGTTAAGATATTATTGCGCCAAGTCGAACTGCTCAAAAGCACTTGTTATGGTATTCCGCCATACAATATAGTCATCAATTTTAAACGCTTAGAAAAGCGCAACGGTTTATTTTGTGTCACCAGCCCAGGTCAAGATACACTACTCGAGTAACTGTGTTTACATAGGGAAAACGTGGAAGTGTTTGGTCGCTTCTCTGCTTGGCCCATATTTAATGCATGGGCTAAGCTAAGTGCTAACATAGTTTTGCGGCAATACAGAGCGATATAGTGCACGCACTGAGACGAGAGAGGTATGTATCAACTCGTCTTAGTTAAGGGAATAACATAGTTTAATAAGAAAAACTGGTGGAGTATCCCTTTAAGAACACCACGAGCAATACAAAATACAAGGGTACAGTCACCAGAAAGCCTGTTTAACAAGGTAAGATTAAAGGGGTGGTATAATGCCCTTTCCACAAGATGTAAAATAAATCTCTGATGTCCCCAGAGTGTGTATGTGAAGTTTTAACTCAAAATACCCCACAGATATTTTTATATAGCATGTTAAAATCGTCACTTTTTGAGGGTTAGCAAAAACGCACCGTTTTGTGTATGGCCCTTTAAATGCAAATGAGCTGCAGCTCCCGACACAGTGGGCGGAGCTTCAAGAGTGCGTATGTTATCAGCTTCGATTACACAGACACGAGACACACACTATAATGTCAGAAACTGTTCTGCCTTTTATGTTTAAACCGGAGTCAGACAAAGATGGAGAGACTAAGAAGAAGTGACAACATGTAGAATACAACAGGACATCTCTGAATGGTTAGTTGATGAATTTATGTTGCTGATGTGGCGTTAACTAACTTCAATTAGCATATTCTGTCATGGTAATCTATAAATCACTTGTATAGGAACTGTTGTGAGATGCACACAGAGTGACTTTCTATTGCATGTGAAAAGACGGATGCTACAGTTTGAGTTGACTCACAAATCTGCTCGACTACAACAGCTCTTCCTCTTCTCGACATGGACTGCGTGTTAACGGGGGCGGGGTTTATGTAAATTTTAGGGTTAGTGATGTCACTAACCCGGGAGGAAGCTCGTGTAGTTCCTACCAACCGTTTGTTGTAGTCCTTAAAAAAACGATTTCTTTAAAAGCAAATATCTCCCTTTGCTTTGAACTTTGAGTGTTGTAACTTTGCAGATGTTGTTTATGCTCAAACAGCAACATTACACACTAACTAAAGTTAGAAAAATAAAATCATAATCAACCAACCCCTTTATAGACAAAGAATGTCATAATTCCAATTGTCTTGAGTAAGAGAGTGTAGCTAAAGCTTGAGACTTCAGACTAATCACACACATCGGAGGGAGAACTAGTGAATGTAGAAGATCCAAGAACAAGTGTATAAGGAAAGAAGATCATACAATCAAAAGGGAGCAAGTGTGTTACGAGCCTTAGAAGTAAGGAGCAAAGTTGCAAATTTTGAGCAACAGGGGAAATGTTTAACCAAAAAAGGTCCATAAATTATTAGAAAGAAGATCATAAAGCAAAGCCTTACAATAATTTACAGCATGGACCATGATGGCAGTGCTCCTCAGAGGACGGTTAATGTTACGTATGTGGAAGTACTGTCTGAGTAACATTATTAATATGAGTTCCAAGTGACAGAATACTGTAGAAGATAACACACAAGCTCTTAACATGTGTAAAACAGGAAACTGAGAGAATTATCAATACTAACAGAAAAATAATTAGACGTTTTCACATTATTCTTTGAGCCCCAAAGGATAATTTTTGTCTTTACTGCTATTAAATATGAGGCAATTGCTTGAGAACTAAATTTTAATTTCAGACAGTCAACTAGAAAGATAAGGCAGAGGAAGAACAGAAGTGTGTAGAGACAGGTAAAGCTGGGTTTTATCAGCAAAACATAAGCCAAATTTCCTGAAAATTCTACCAAGGGTAAGAAGGTAAATGATAAATAGCAGGGGGCCCAAAACCGATCCCTGTGGGACACCAGCATTAATTTGGGCTGGCTTTGATCGGAACTGCCTTAATTGGATGAATTGGGTGTGACCTAAGAGATAAGATTTAAACCAACCATGGTTGTACCAACAATTTCTATAGTGTATCACATCTAATAGGATGCTGTGCAAGATGAAGCAGTTAAATCAAAAAGATTTAAAGCAACACCAAGTGACTTTTCCTCTGCGGTCGCCCTACAGGTTGGAAGCGGAATTGTCCATTACTGCTGTCGTAAATAATTTAGCCTACCGCAGCTTACTGTCGCACGCGCCCGCACGCACATGCTCTCTGTTTATCCAGCACCGGCTTTGGAATCAACAATGGCCACAGACAAGGTAGAGTATGATGCATGATTTTATGAAAGTGTAGTTGTAGTCTACTGTCGAGTACGCTCCACCTATCGGCAATTGTAACGCTTGCCGTAAAGCAAGTCAAATTTGTAGTTTTCTAATGTCTCATTCGGACTACAGAAACGTGACCCGTTCTGGCAATCTTACATAGCGTGGATATATCAGATAAAGGACCGCAAAGCGGTGGCATAAGTGCATTTCACCATGTCACGACTTGATGAACCACTGAACCGGTTTTGAAAACATTATTTTAAGGTAAAAATCCTTACTTAGTGTTGCTTTGATATAGTAAGAACTACTAGATTATAGAGTCATCCGCAACAAGTCAATCGTTAGAAATCTTGACAGTCTCAGACTCTCAGTACTATGAAATAAATGAAAGCAAGATTGAAAATGTTCATACAGGTTGCAAATGGAAGTAGGAGATTTTGCATAGACTATAGAAAATGTAATGCAGTTTTTGTGACATAAGCGGGGGCTGGAAAATGGCTGCAGTCTTAACACATAAAGGAAATCTGTGTTGGTGTTTGCTTTCAGATCAGGCAGGGGGGAAAAGCGGGTGATATCTTGAACAGAGGAGACTTTGAAGTCGGCCTCCTGTTGGGGGAAAGGGGTAAGGGCCGTAAACTGCAAGCAGGGGTTCATTTCCATAATGACCAACACAATCTACCAAGAGCAAATTAGTGTCTGGTTTAAAACATGCTTTTTTGGGCTTTAAAGTCCCCCTGTGGTGAAAATCCAGCTTTTAATGTTGTTTATGTGTCTATGTGGTGTTTTTATGCATTAAGACAAACCATGTGTAAGTTCATGTCAACTCCATTGCTGAGTATTTTCTACTTAAAACTGCAGTGAACCAAAGACAGTCTCAAAAACAACAAGTCAACCAGTGGATCTCTGAGCTGAGTGAGTGAGTGGAGGCGGGGCTCATTTGCATATTCATAGAACCGTGTATACTAAATGAGGCAAGGGTGTCGAATTACATTCAAGATATTTGAAGGCATGAAGTCTTTTTTTATCAAGGAAAAAACTATAAAATATGTAATTTTGCTGATCAAAGATTAATTAATTCACTGGGATTACAGCCCCATTGACTTCCTGTGCCAATGCATATTGATGAAGTAAACGGTTGGATGTGCCAAAACTTTCTTCAGTTAAACAAAGACAAAACTGAAGTCATTTCGTTTGGAAACAAAGATGAAGTTCTCAAGGTGAATGCATACCTTGACGCTAGGGGTCTAACAACTAAAAATCAAGTCAGGAATCAAGACAGGGTGTGTCTCTAGAGTCAGACCTTAGTTTCAGTAGTCATGTCAAAGCAATAACTAAATCAGCATACTATCATCTGAAAAATATTCCAAGAATTAAATGCTTTGTTTCCAGTCAAGACTTAGAGAAACTTGTGCATGCTTTTATCACCAGCAGGGTGGACTATTGTAATGGACTCCTCACTGGCCTTCCTAAAAAGACCATAAGACAGTTGCAGCTCATACAGAACGCTGCTGTCAGGATCCTGAGCAGAACCAGAAAATATGAACACATCACACCAGTCCTCAGGGCTTTACACTGGCTCCCAGTTACATTTAGGATTGATTTTAAAGTATTATTACTGGTATATAAATCATTTAATGGCCTAGGACCCAAATACATTGCAGATATGCTCACTGAATATAAACCAAACAGATCACTCAGATCATTAGGATCACATCAGCTAGAAATACCAAGGGTTCACTCTAAGCATGGAGAGTCTGCTTTTAGCTATTATGCCAGCCGCAGCTGGAACCAGCTTCCAGAGGAGATCAGATGTGCTCCTACAGTCACATTCAAATCCAGACTCAAAACACTTCTGTTTAGCTATGCATTTACTGAATGAGCACTGTGCCACTGTGTCCGACTGTTTGTACTGTATTATATATTTTTTATTTTTTATTCTAAACTGTTTTAATTATTCTTATTTCTTTTGATTATTTTAATTTCTTTATTTTAAACTGTTTTAATTATTGTTATTTCTTTTGATTTTTTAATTTATTTTATGTAAAGCACTTTGAATTACCATTGTGTATGAAATGTGCTATATAAATAAACTTGCCTTGCCTTGCCTTGCCTAATTCATTCATTACATTCATATAGCGCTTTTCTCGGCACTCAAAGCGCTTGTGGAGATGAGTTTTAAGGGATACAATTATTGACTACAGGGGGACTTTAAATAAGGGCACAAATATCAGTGAATTGACGAGCGCAAACCTTAGTAAATCACCTTGCAAGATTCATTTAAATACTCTCCTCACATACATTTTCTGTCTGAAAGGGAAACTACAACAAATGCATATGCAATAAGGTCAGCCGCAAAAATAACCGTGTCCATGCCTTTTCAGTGCTAATTCTTAATGCCAAAGAGGATTTGTGGGAGCAAGCTGTTAGAAATCTGGCCCGAAAATGTTGAATTGTTCATAATAAAAGAAAATATTACTTACATTTCCCTTCACTACATAATTCATGTCATTCATGATGTCTCGTGCAAGGCCAAAATCACAGATCTTCACAATGTTGCGGTCAGACACAAGAACGTTCCGTGCAGCCAAATCTCTGTGAATACACTGATCATAAACAGCATTATAAAATTACAGTGTACCAAAAATAAAAAAATTGCACAATCTCACACTTACTGTGCAGTTTGGCATCCATAAAGAAATAGTTCAAGAATTCAAATTCTGCACTGTATATTACTTAGTTCCATGAAAATTAATCACTTTTGACAACAACAACAAATTATAAGTAGTGCATAGAACTTAGATTTAGATTTTGTCATTTAGCAGACGCTGTTATCCAAAGCGACTTACAAACTTCCTCATATCAATTCCCCATTTTGCACTCAGGTCTGATTTTATATGCTATTTTTTTTGTTATTTTGTAGCTCAGTTGCCCCAGTACCTATTCATTTACATTATATAACAAGCAGCAGGGATATTTAAAAAAAAAAAAAAAATTAGCTACAATTTTGACACACATATGTAACATATAACCGAGAAATATTACATTTTTGGAGGCTAGGAATTCCATTCCCTGTGCGACTTGATAGGAGAACTTCAGCAAATCAATACTATCCAATGACCACACGTCCTCCCCTCCTTCATTGCAAGATTCTGTTGGAAAAGTCCAAAATGATAAGGATGCCCAATTGTTCCCATTACAAAACATTTGGTCTGCTTATTACTTTACCCTGACAAAGGTCTCTTGACATCCGTGTTGATTGTGCGTCGTTGTAGCTCTCTGAGCCATGACAAGTGATCCTAAAAAAAAGGTTTACATGTTTGACAATAGAAGAGACACTACAACCACAGCACATTAGGCTATGTTCACAGTCCAAATCCGATTATTTGTGCATACATACCCGATTGAAATCCGATCCGATTTATCTAGTGTGAATGGCCAAAAATCACATGAAATGCGACTTCTGTTTCAAGCTACATTCATATGTGGTTTGAAATCTTATTCAAATCGCATTTGTGGAAATCCGTTTCAGTCTGACCGCTCTGATCGGTGGTTTATGTGATTTCTCACGCCACGATGACCGTAAAGGTCAGACGTTGTTATAGGAAACATCTTGAAAGTCGCTGCAGAAACAAGGTTTTGTTGTTGCAAAGTGCAGAAAATGACACTATGACTGTTACAGGTTCCTGCTCTAAACTTCCCAACACTCTCGTCTGTTCCCACCTGCACGTCATTCCTGATCACACACACCTGCACCTCATCATCACCATCACCACCACTATAAAGACACACTCTTCACCTCTGTTCAATGTCTGGTCTCGTTCATACGAAGAGGAACTCCTCTGGTCTCCAGCGTCTCCAGCGTCTCCAGCGTCTCCGTGTCTCCGTGTCTCCGTGTCTCCGTGTCTCCGTGTCTCCAGCGTCTCCAGCGTCTCCGTGTCTCCGTGTCTCCAGCGTCTCCAGCGTCTCCAGCGTCTCCAGCGTCTCCGTGTCTCCGTGTCTCCGTGTCTCCAGCGTCTCCAGCGTCTCCGTGTCTCCGTGTCTCCAGCGTCTCCAGCGTCTCCAGCGTCTCCAGCGTCTCCGCGTCTCCGTGTCTCCGTCTCCTCTGGACGATCCACTTTTCAGGCAATTTCCATCTATTGCCACCACGTGTTCCTTGAGGAAATACATAGACAACATCCTGTGTGTGAGTGGATCGTCCTAGACCATAGGAGGAGCAGATTCGGATTCCCTTTCCGTCATGCCCGCCGCCCTTCCAGAGTCTTGTTCTGCTGAGACCGCCGTTCCAGAGTCTCGTCCCAAGATGGCCACCGCCGTTCCAGAGTCTCGTCCCAAGATGGCCACCGCCGTTCCAGAGTCTCGTCCCAAGATGGCCGCCGCCGTTCCAGAGCCTCGTCCCAAGATGGCCGCCGCCATTCCAGAGCCTCGTCCCAAGATGGCCGCCGCTGGGCCAGAGCCCTCGTCCAAGATGGTCACCGCCATTCCTGAGCCCTCGTCCAGGATGGCCGCCCCCCTTCCAGAGTCTCGTTCTGCCGAGACCGCCCTTCCAGAGCCTCGTGCCAAGATGGCCACCGCCGTTCCAGAGTCTCGTCCCAAGACGTCCGCCGCCATTCCAGAGTCTTGTCCCAAGATGGCCGCCACCGTTCCAGAGCCTCGTCCCAAGATGGCCGCCGCTGCGCCAGAGCCCTCGTCCAAGATGGCCACCGCCATTCCTGAGCCCTCGTCCAGGATGGCCGCCACCGCGCCTGAGCCCTTGTGCAAGATGGCCGCCACCGCGCCTGAGCCCTTGTGCAAGATGGCCGCCACCGCGCCTGAATGTCCAGTCTCCGTCCTCCTCCAGAGTCCAGTGGGAGCTCCAGTTTCTGACCCTGTCCATCCCAATGACACCTGCAGCTGCCCAAGAGAATAATGGGGGGGCCATATACCCTTAATGCCGGCTCTGTCCTGGTCCCCTGAGCTGCCGCCCGGCTCCCCCCTGGTCACTTGCTAGTCTGACATCGCCCTGGAGTCTACACCCACCTGCTTACACCAGTCTAGAGTCCAGGCCGCCCGCCTCTCCTCCACAGTTGGAATATCTACGATTATCAAGGGGGAGTACTGTTACAGGTCTGCCAGGTTCCTGCACTATACTTCCCATCAGTCTCCTCTGTTCCCACCTGCACGTCATTCCTGATCACACACACCGGCACCTCATCATCACCATCACCACCACTATAAAGACACACTCTTCACCTCTGTTCACTGTCCGATCTCGTCCATATTAGTGATGCGCGGGTCGACTCGTAACCCGCGGGTCGGGCTGGGGCGGGGAAAGAAATTGTCACTTTATTTGCGGGGCGGGTTGGGGTGGGTCATTAATTTTTATTTTATTTTTTTAATCCATGTATACATGTTGCGTGCAATTTCCACCCTATATTAAATAATTGGGAATATCTATTTTCATATTATTTTATTAGGTCCTTTGATAAGGTTACAATACGAATGCTTTAGCAACGTAACTTGCGTGATGTCCCCAAAGCTTTGGCGTCACGTGACACATCATGAAAGCGGCGCGCTAAGCAGCTCCCGCCGCCAGCCACGACAACAAGAACGGAGAAATAAAGTGAAGATGGAAGATGAGGTGCGGGAGAAATTGAGGTCGGGAATTTACATAATTAAAAGTAAAAAAAGGTCAGGCTGCTAAATCTAATGTTTGGGACCGGTTCTCAGAAATAGTTGCAGCAGGAGACAGTATCGACTACGCGAAATGCAACTCGTGTGAAAAATATACAAACAGGAGAGCCACAAAACGGGCACTTCCAGCTTGTCAAGACATATTTGTGGGGGGTCTAAGAAATACAAAAATGGTTTAGCCTATTAGATGAATACAAACGCTGCTTTGTAAAGGTTGCAAATGTTTATTAGTATCTTGTTAATGACCTTTTTATGGTTCATATTCATAATTGTCTGTTGTTGCCAGTTTACAACACAAAAGGCGACGTTTCCAACCACTTTAAGGCTGAAATAAAAGGCTGTTTTCATTTACATTACAATACCTAGTATGTCTATTTAACGGTCGTGGGTGCGGTGCGGGTTGTAAAAATAGATCCAGTGGTGCGGGGCGGGCTTGGGCGGGCCTGGGGCGGGCTTGGGCGGGCTTGGGCGGGCCAAATAATTTCATAAAAGTGGGACATCACTAGTCCATATGAAGAGCACTACTTACCCTGCTATTGATTTCCTTGATTCTCCAATGACCATTCTCCAGTCTCCACTCCAGCGTCTTCATCTCCATGGTCTCCAACGTCTCCAGTGTTCTTTGTTCCAGCCATCGGTCTCACCCACAATCAGCCTCCATACCAGTAAGAGGAACCAAACCACTCATCGCCTGCACCGCTCTCTAAAGTATCATTGTTCATATCACTTACCCGCATTCTGTCTCCGCTCAGTGTCGTCAATAAACTCCTATTAACTTCATTATCCATCTCTTGAGACTGCTTCCGTAACAATAACGGAGACATATTTTGAAACTGGTAAAGAACCGTATGCCAACCAACAAAACGTAATTTCCATACCCAGACAGCAACACAGTGTTGGCCTAGATCCGGGCCACATCTGGTACATGTGGTATCCATGTGTCCCAGATGTGGGCTGGATCTGGGCCGACACTATATTGCGGTCTGGTTTGAAACCAATGCAGATTCCGGAAAACTAAAGAGTGGTATGGACACACAAATCAGATCTGAACAGTTGCGATACATCAATAATTTTAGATCAGATTCCAATCGGATACACAAATAATCAGATTTGGACAATGTGAACGTAGCATTGGTCATTGCAATATCTACAAGTTTTAAATCGGTGTAATTCCCTCATGACAATCAATCTAAAACCAGCTTCTGATGGCAGCTGGTCCAATTAGTCCCAACAAGCTGAAGGACAAAAAGTCCTTGCAACAAAAAGTGCCTGACCACCTTCATGTGCTTTTATGTTTTTCCAGCAGGGTAGGAAGAAGAATGCTTTAATGATACTTGGAAACGTAATAACATAGCATTGATCACAGTTGCTAAAAAAAGAAGTGGTGGTACAAGGCAAGCCTTCCTTTATTATATGACACTGACACTAACAGGATTAAGAAAAAGGGATCATATTCCCCCAGTTTTGGCATCTCTACACTGGCTCCCGGTGAAATTCAGGGTGGATTTTAAAATTTTGACTTGTTAACAGGGCACTATCTGGTCTCGCACCGAAATATATTAGTGACCTTTTACCCCCCTACTCTCCAGCTAGAGCACCCAGGTCTTCTGACCAACTGCTATTGACGGCTCCTCGTTGCCGTTATAAATCTTCTTTAAAAACGTATCTGTTTTCTGTGGCTTTTGAATAGATAATGAAAGGGGTTTTTGAAGCTGATAGAATGTATGATGTTGTATTTAAATGTGTTTATTTATTCTTGCTTGATCTGTAAAGCACTTTGGGTCAACTTCTGCTGTTTTTAAATGTGCTATAAAAATAAAGGTTGACTTGACATGAACATACCTTGCAGAATGGTTATTTTGAACGGTCACATTCTTGTAGAGGTTTGAATCCTCTGGGAAACCTTGAAGACCAAGAAAAGTGTTTGCAAATGTTTCTGCTCGTTGACGTAAGAAGTTGAGGAGGTCCCCGTGACAGCAGTACTCTGTGATCATCAGCATCGGTCCTATATCAGATCAAATCAGATCTATTTACAACTAATACACTACTGATTTTTGTTTTATATATACGTATATATATTCAATATTTCAATATATTTTATAACCAGTATTGTGATTGCACAGACAACGTTTAATGCTGAAAATAGCAAGAGGATTTTGTAAAAAAAAAAACTGTAACATGTATGTTCTGTTCTGTTTTGGTTACATTTTCACTCTGTTTGCTCTGTTCCTGTATGCCTGAGGCTACCTCTACATTAATCCGGATGGATTTGAAAACAACGTTTTTGTTCAAAAACGCTCTCCGTCCACACTGGCATTTTCAAGCGTTTCCCAAAAGTTTCTCATCCACACTGAAACGTTGGAAAACGCTAAATTCACCTTATAGCACGTGTGTAAACCCTCATGAAGCTCACTGAGATGATACAGACAGAGCAGACATGATCAAGACATCACGCAATTCTTCTGACAGGATCATTTAATTTAGCTAAATATCTCAGCATTCACTGATTGTCCGGGTCGCTCTCACTCTAAAACGCGACTGCTCTCATGTTTTGCCGAAGGACAGCAAATGCGAGTGAGTTTTCGGTCATCTTTACAGGACTGTGATATGAAGAGTGTGTGAAGTAACATATCTTAGCAACTGTGTGAAAGTAGCACATAACAGACACAATACCGACATAAACATGAATATCTATTGGTACAATATGCGTCACATGACTAAACTTACGTCATCGTTTTTAAATACCTCAGTTTTTTACAGTCCACACTACAACACGAAAACAGCGTTTTTTTTATTTATTTATTTTATCCACTTTCGAGAGCGTTTTCAAAAAGCTTCGTAGATAAAAATGCTGTCTCAGTGTGAACGTAAGACCAAAAAGGAGAGAAAAAGATGCATTTTCAAATGAAAACGTGTTAGTGTGGACAAGGCCTGAGTTCCTTTAGTTAGTTTCCCTGTTAGTAATTAGTTTCCATAGTTCCTAATTACACGTCGCACATGCTTTGTTTCTCTTTGATTTCCTATGTATTTAAGCCCTGTGCTTCATTTGGTTCTCGTTAATGTTAAGTCTGGATACATCTCCTATACGTATTCCTGTGTTATGAGTGATTTTGTATTATTAATTAAAGAATATCTGAATATATCTCCTTCATCATGCTATCTGACCAGCATATAACGTGACAAAACCTCAAAACGACATTGTTTACAAGTCTAATAAAGTGAATAGGCAACAAATAATTATATTAACCAGTTGAGAAGACATCATCCACTGATCAAATGCTCTTAACTTACGTAATGTAAAATAAAATGTAGGTATTTTCATTTATAATAATTAATGTATAATGCTGTGTCAAGCATTTGTGTAATGTTTTTCAACATACATGTAAAATAAACATGTCATTTTTCAAATTTGTTTGTTGTATAGAATATTTTCCCCAATCTTTTTTTTTTGGAAAAAAAAATGCTTAAAATTGCTGATGGGGCTTATACAAATAAAAAATAAAAAAATCTAAATAAATGTACAAAATTTAAACTGAAGTCCATGCTTTCTATAGTGTCAGCATTTTATTTAAACAAGAATAAGTTGTATAAGAATAAGAATAAGTTGAATAAGAATAGCTATAGAAAGAAACGTGTTACTAACAGCCCTGTTCACTTCTATTTGTCTTCGGCCAAAAACACCAGCATTGGATGCTGATTTACGGCCCTATTTTTAACAAATCCAGCAGACAACGACCTGTATCGGTTAACTGATTATGGCTGTTAAAAAGTTTAACTGATTAAGTAAGTGTAAATATCAATCAAAAACATTAGTTAATTTTTTATTGTGTGGCTCAAAGATCTAAGGGAGCACATGTTTCACTATACGTCACTTTCAATGGATTAGATGAAATCAGGTTTATTTCTAAATATGAAAAGAAGTGTTTAGTTTGTTATAGTGACAATCTTACTGATTTCACTGCTGATTAATGTGAGAATATGCCTTTGACGTACCTTCCTGAGTGCACGCCCCCAGCAGATTGACGATGTTGTCATGCGGCCCGATGTAATTTAAGATCTTCAGCTCAGACATGAGTGCTTCTTTTTCTTCAAAGCGAGCACTGGCTGTTTGGGGTGGAGGGACAGAAAGAGAACAATTGAAATTATTCTATCAAGATCTAAACAAAAACCTCTGGTCTTGGGTGATTGGGGTATTGGGTTATTGGATTAACACTCATTCTCCAGCAAAATATGTGTCCAGGGCTGATTTTTAGTCCCACTCTCAATTTTAAAGGGGCTATAAGTAGACTTTTCATATTTTAATCACAAGCGTCTCTTCCGTTCAATGACACATGAAATAAATGCTTATACAATGTTCAAGATAATGCCTGAAAAAGTCATTCAGTACTGTAATGTCAATGTGTCATGGAAAGAAAAGGGATTAAACCTTTTCGAAGGAACTCAACACGTTGACACTATTTGAACGGCTTCGGCGTGCACCGGTGTCTGAAGCACGTGTGAAATTACTTCAACCCGAGGTCAGGTGACGAAGCTTAGCGCGTCATCAAGACTATTAAAGGGCACGTGGTTTGGTGTTTTATCTATCTCGTCCCCCGTGCATTTGTTGATACTAGACTTCTGTAACATATGCGGATGCATTACAGAAGTCTAGTATCAACAAATGCACGGGGGACGAGATAGATAAAACACCAAACCACGTGCCCTTTAATAGTCTTGATGACGCGCTAAGCTGACTGACTGCTAGGGTTGCCACCTTTGATTTGTGAAAAACCGGGACACTTTGAGGGGGAGGCGTCAACCAGGGGCGGTTCCAGCTTTGAAGGACATCAAAAAAGAGAACAATCCCGGGAAAACCGGGACGGGTGGCAACCCTACTGACTGCTTTGTCGGACAAAATGTCGGATGGATGCGGCATATGTCATAAATTGACCCTTCGCAGGGAGCTTGATTGACAGGTGATCTGACCAATCATATTTCGCCATCCGACATTTTGTCCGACAAAGCAGTCAGGAGAGTTAGTAGATTAACATGGGAGGATTTGGACTTGAAAAACGGTGTACTGATGCCTTTCTGCGGTTAAAACAACATTCCTTCTGATGTTCATTCATGTTTATTTGATGCTATAAATGAACTAGAAGGAAGAGATGATCGGATCACGAGCAGCTTTAACTGAGGCTCTACAGCGATCTGTCACGACACATTAAAGAGCCACAAAACGGTATTTATTGTTTAAATTTCTTTTAAAAAATGACCACATTTGAAAGGTAAGACTTTGTTTAATATGTTTAATATCAAAAGTAACCGAAAAGTAACCTGGTCTGTCCTGTCTGTCAGCGTGTTGTCAGTCCGCAATGTATTTTTCACTGCGTGAGAACATGGTGTGTGTGTGTGTGTGTGTGTGTGTGTGTGTGTGTGTGTGTGTGTGTGTGTGTGTGTGTGTGTGTGTGTGTGTGTGTGTGTGTCTGTGTGTGTGTGTGTGTGTGTGTGTGTGTGTGTGTGTGTGTGTGTGTGAGAGAGAGAGCAGCGTAGCTTGTCGGACATAGCGACAGTAACTAAGGGGGGCGGGTCTTTGCGAACGGTCGATTATATATAGTCTTGTAAACTCTTGTATACTCTCCTTTTCTAAACTCTTATTTAGAAATAAGAGTTTAGAAAAGGAGAGTATATAAAATGACTGATGGTTTCGCTAGATAAAACCCTGTTCCTCAGCTGGGGTCGTGCAGAGCCGTGTGAAGCTCTTCAAAGCCGTTTGAAACTGCATTGATTTGGATTTCAACAATTTGGTTACCGTTGAAGTCCATTGTGTGGAGAAAAATCCTGAAATGTTTTCCTCAAAAAACTTAATTTCTTCTCCACTGAAGAAAGAAAGACATGAACATCTTGGATGGCATTGGGGTGAGTAAATTATCAGGAAATGTTCATATTGAAGTGAACTAATCCTTTAAGTTGCTGGCTGCAGTTCACTTAAAGGCCACTGGTGTCGCTATAATACCCCAACTACAGTGCAATTGAGTGATGTGTCAGCTTTCTAATTATAATGAGTGTATGCAAGCGAGCTTATGCTAAACAGTCACGTGACCCTCTACATGGGCATTAAGACTAAATTAGCACCAGAAGACCATCTTATGGTGTATAACTGGAATATTATTATATAGCTATTTAAAGTAGCTCACACGTTTGACAAATGTATCAGCTTATAGTGGGAAAATTTAACTAGATTTTGATCATTGAGACTCCAGACTTATATCTCTGTTTCTCTTTACCTTGTCTTGAGACTATCTGTGATATTTATATATTCACTTCAAATAAATTAATTCAGCAATTTTCATAAAAAATCTACTCAAATTTGTCCTAATATGTATTGAACTTACGCTTGAGCATTTTCACTGCCACTCGTGTAACGGTTTCATCCTTGACAAGCCCAAAAGCGGTTGCTTGCACCACCTTCCCAAAAGCTCCTGCTCCTAGAACTTGTCCTGAAGTAAAAGCAATGGTTTATTTAACGCAGAAGTTATTTCTTATCATTACTAACAACAAAACTATGATAATGTAAAACAATACGCGCATGGTTGCGATACCAAGCTTCAGCTTATTTCGAGGAAACTCCAGCTTGTTGTTGTATGGAAGTTGGGTGGGGTCAATGAATGTGTAATTGTTCCCATCATTCACTTCAATGATTTTCCATTGGATTTCATATTTCTGTGCCTTAAAAAAATAGTGGTGTTAAAAATGTATTTATTGCATCATTTGTGAGTACAACAGACGTGAAAAAATACCTTTCTGTGTTTGTAGAAAAGGATCAACATCCATAAGATCATCACAGTGAAGGCTCCAGAGAGAACAACAGTGATCAACACTGAAGTCGACCACACGGATGTATTGCCAGGAACATCTAGAGACATTAGAGACGCATCAGACGACAACTCCACTTCAAAATGCACAAAATGGTGCTCAATTGCAAGGGATATTGAGCTTTTTGGGTAACACTTTACTTGAAGGGGTGTGCGTAAGACTGACGTGACACTTTCATAGTTTTATGCATGTTTATGACAACTGTCATTAAGTGTCATTCGCTCAATTATGACATTTGTAATGCAAATATGACATTGAGACGGCTTGAGATGTCTTTGTTATGACAACTTGACCAATACATCATAACCGGTCAGTGTCTTTGTCATGACAACTTGACATTACTACAACATAACCTGTCATAAATATGTCATAAACATGACATAACAGGTTAATGATCAAACTTAAGAAAGCACTTAGCTTTATGGGTTAACATTACATTAAACTGTCAGGTGGTTGGTTTTGACATTGGCTGTCATGAGGCCATTATAACATTTTAATTACAAATTCAATGTGTACCACTGTAGTCGAGGTCAGTAACAATATTCATGACACAGTTATAATGCCTAATGACAGCCAATGTCAAAACCACATGACAGTTTAATGTAATGTTAACCCATAAAGCTAAGTGCTTTCTTAAGTTTGATAATTAATCTGTTATGTCATCTTTATGACATATTTATGACAGGTTGTGTTGTCCTGGTAATGTTAAGTTGTCATAACAAAGACATCTCAAACAATGTCATATTTGCATTACAAATTTCATAATTGAGCGAATTACACTTAATGACAGTTGTCATAAACAGGTGAAACTCGAAAAATTAGAATATTGTGAAAAGGTTTTCATAAGCCGTAAGTCATAATCATCAAAATTATAACAAATAAAGGCTTGAAATATCTCACTTTGCATGTAATGAGTCTATATAATATATTAGTTTCACCTTTTAAGTTGAATTACTGAAATAAATGCACGATAAACTGAAAAAAACTTTTGCACGATATTCAAATTTTTCGAGTTTCACCTGTATATGCATAAAACCTCCATCATATTTATGACATGTGTCATGTCATGATTATGAAAGTGTCACGTCAGTCTTATGCACACCCCTTCAGGTAAAGTGTAACCCATTTTTCTTACATGAAATTGTAAAGGTGAAGCTATCACGATCTTCTCCAGCAATGTTTGTAGCCACACACTCAAAGGTTAAATTAGTGTTTGCGTTAGTCACTGGTAACACACTCTTCACCAGCACTGGTCCATGCCCTCGGCCGTGCCCAAAAGTGGACTGGGTGGATTTTAATTCCACAGCGGATGTATGGTTGTATTTACACCTGTCACTCAATCATAATAAAATCAGAAATTAGTGCATCCTCACACATTTCTTGTAAAACATACAGTATCTTATATAACAAATATATCTGACATTCAAAAAGATGGCATACATAGCTCTGGCATCTTCACACTGGAACCACTGAATCCTCGGTACGGGATAACCAATCGCCTCACAAGTGGTAACTCCATTTTCCCTCTTAATTACAGCATTAGGCTTATCTGTATGTTTGGAAAGACAAAAAAAGATTAAATCGTACTATGGTTTCATTATGTAATCGTTTTTTATTAAGACTTACGGTAGACATGAACTGTAAAAATAATTGAGGCATTGACACTGGCACTTCTGGCAGTGAAGATGTAGTGACCATATTCTTGCACTCCAACTTTTCTCAGCAGGATTGTGGACAAGTAACTGTTACTGTCGAATATAAACACACAAGGTCAGTGTCACCTAACAAAACAGAGCTTGTTCTTGTTTAACAGGTTGATGTATCTGGGTCTTGTTTCCAGAAAGCAATACAAGCCTTAAAGGGTTAGTTTACCCAAAAATGAAAATGATGTCATTAATGGCTCTCCCTCATGTCGCTCCAAGCCCGTCAGACCTCCGTTTATCTTCAGGACACAGTTTAAGATATTTTAGATTTAGTCCGAGAGCTTTCTGTCCCTCCATTGTAAATGTGTGTACGGTATACTGTCCTTGTCCAGAAAGGAAATAAAGACATCATCAAAGTAGTCCATGTGACATCAGTGGGTTAGTTAGAGTGTGTTGAAGCATCGAAAATACATTTTGGTCCAAAAATAACAAAAACTAGGACTTTATTCAGCATTGTATTGTCTTCCGGTTCTGTTGTGGATCCGCGTTCAGTGCCGCCGCTGACGTAAGACGCTGCTGACGTGTGTCTGGTGTGTGTGTGTGTGTGTGTGTGTATTCTGGTTCTGTTGTGGATCCGCGTTCAGTGCCGCCGCTGACGCAAGACGCTGCTGACGTGTGTCTGGTGTGTGTGTGTGTGTGTGTGTGTGTATTCTGGTTCTGTTGTGGATCCGCGTTCAGTGCCGCCGCTGACGTAAGACGCTGCTGACGTGTGTCTGGTGTGTGTGTGTGTGTGTGTATTCTGGTTCTGTTGTGGATCCGCGTTCAGTGCCGCCGCTGACGTAAGACGCTGCTGACGTGTGTCTGGTGCGCCCGTGTATTCGGGTTCAAATAAATATGGCTGGGCAAAAAAATGCAAGTCTTCCTCTGTGTGGAAATCCTTAAGCCTAGTTCACACTACATGATTTGAAGCCCGATATGCAAATCGTTGAGCTCGCCGACACAGGTCATGGTGTTATCGCGTGCAAATCGCGGGGGATTAGCGGGCGATGAACGCTCGCCAATCTGTTAGTATGAAAGAGCCAACAACGCATCAAAGACGCTCGCAGACGCCTCGCCGAGCCCAGAAAAATATCTAGCATGCTAGATATCCAGAGCTGTCGCACGACTCAAGCTCACGTGATGTCATGAGCTACAGCCAATCAGAGCAAGGCATGTTCGCGTGTTGTGTTCTTTTTCGTCTTCTTCGGTGGGTATTGGCGCGCGTGCTGTTTCGCGTCATTTCCGGTTCGTTTTATCGCGTGATTTTTCGTGACAAAACGTGGTTTGTAGACAAGATAGAATCGTTGGGTGACAGAGTTGTTGTCAACTCGTGTAGTGCGTTACCTCCTGTTGCGGATCAATCACGTTGTGTCGTGTGGTGTGAACTAGCTCAACAACTTGAAAACTCCTGATTTCACAGAGAGCAAGTCATGTAGTGTGAACCGCACAGTTCAGCCCGACGTTTTAAAATCATGTAGTGTGAACTAGGCTTTAGACATGTTTGCGAAGATTGTTCTCTTACGAGAGGTTCTCTCGTATTGCGTAAGCTAGCTTACGCTGCGGGAAAGATTCATCTTTGCTGAGATATTGAAGCCAAAAAATTATTTCATAATTTGTATCCATTGACAACGCAGTTCCTCTGCGGCAGACCTAGAGCAGGCTAGCTAGCAGCTCATTGGTTCGCTCAGAGAGAACTGCTTAAGCCTATGGGAGAGCGGGGCTGAACCCGCTTCCAATGAGAGGCGCCCGCGCGCTCATTGCGTCATGGCCCGCCAGAATGGGCGTGGCTATGGTGTATATAACAGTCTCTCCCAGGCTTATATGTTGATTCATTTCATCTTCAGCAAGCTGCACACTTCTGCTGTCCTGAGAAAAGCCGTCGCCGTCGAGAAGGCATCACTCTAGCGAGCTCCCGGACCCTGAAGAAGCCGGCCGTCTTCGCCACCTTCAGCCGCCCTGCAAGCTAGCGCCATCCGACGACTGTATCCTTCTCTTTTCTCTATTTATATCTAAAAGAGCCGAGCGTCTTTTTAAAGATGTCTCGTTTTTCCTGCGGCTCTTGCCGCGCTCGTCTCGAGGACGGAGACCGCCATGTCATCTGCGCTCTCTGCCTGGGACTCGAGCACGCAGAACTCGCCCTCGCGGATGGAGGATGCGACTTCTGTGAGAGCCTGCCGTTGTCGTCCCTGCGGGCACGACTTCTGGCAGCAAAATCCGCTCCCGCGCCGCCTCCCTCTTCGCCGCGTAAGAAGAAACGCCGCTCCCAGAGGCCGCCGGAGCCCCCAGCGGAACCATGCGGGCCGCCGCCGCCGCCTCCCGCTTCCCGCTCTCCCTCCCCGCCCCTGCCGGACATACAGTTGCCGCCGAGTGGCCGCTCTGTCGCTTCCGATGACGCCGCGGAGGAGAAGGACTCCTGTTCACTGCTCGCATCAGACAGTGAAGAATGGTCATCTCTCGGTTCCACGAGAGAGTCGGCGGGGATCCGCGCCGGGATAGAGGAGGAACTAATGCGCCTCCTCTCACAGGCCGTCGAACGCCTCGGTCTCGAGTGGTCTCCTCCACCCGAGCAGGCCCCGAACCGGATGGACGGCAGCTTTTTTCATCGGCGCTCGACCCCCGCGTGCAACCGGGCCGCTCCATTCCTGCCTGAACTTCACGCTGAGCTGACGAAGTCCTGGAATGCCCCGCTCTCGGCTAGAAACCGCTCTTATATATCCGCCTCGCTGCGCTCGGTGGACGGAGCCGCCGAAAAAGGTTACTCAGCCATGCCGCCCGTCGAGGACTTGGTCGCCGCACACCTCTGCCCGCCCTCTGCTAGATGGCGCTCTTCCCCCACGCTTCCTTCGAAAGCTTGCAGAGCGACCTCGAGCTTTCATGCTCGCGCCTACGCCGCCGCCGGTCAGGCCGCCGCAGCGCTACATTCTATGTCTGTCCTCCAAGTATTACAGAGCGATATTCTCCGTGAGTGGGCCGAAGGCGGTAGAAACCCCTCCCCCGCTGTCACGGATCTGAGAAGTGCTACGGACCTCGCCCTTCGCGCCACTAAAGCCGCCGCACAAGCTCTGGGGAGATGCATGGCCAGCCTTTGTGTTGCCGAGAGACACTTATGGCTCACGCTCGCCGACATGGGAGATTCTGAGCGCGCCGCGTTTCTTAACGCGCCCCTCTCCCCAACGGGCCTTTTTGGATCTGCTGTCACGGGAATCGTCGATCGCTTTTCTGAGGTCCAGAAAGCTACTAAGGCGATGAATTTGTTTCTGCCCCGCCGCGCTAGCTCTTCCGCGGGCCGCTCTCGCGAGCCTCCTGCCAGAGCTCCACCACAGCGCCCCCCTCCGCAGACTCAAACAGCCCAGCGCAGACAGGGTGGCCGCCCTCGCTCTCGCTCTGACAGCCGCCGCAGACCGCCCTCGCTCTCGCTCTGACAGCCGCCGCAGACCGCCGCCCCCACGAGGCCCGCGACCTAAGATCACGCTGAAGCCTGATCATCAGAAGTCTGCCTAGCAAAGTCAAGAAAACGACGGTGCTCTCCCGCTGCGGCCGGACCGCCGTCAAAGCTTCGCCCTCTGCCAGTCCCCGTTATTTCGCCGACTGCTGTAGTGTTGACCGCCACAAACAAGCCGGTGTCCCAGCCCGCTTGCGAGCGACAAAAAGCCGTTTTTACGGCTACCCAGAGAAATCTCAAAAAGAGAAAATTTGCCAGTTGTGTAGAAAATGTGCCCACAATCATGTGCTCACCCATACACACAAGCATAACATATCCCGTGTCTCTATCAGAGCCCCATCACATGAAACGGGCACAGCCCGCTCTAATATCAGAGAACATAAACACGCCCACGAGCTCGTGCGCGTGTCCCCTCTCTGCTCGCTCTGTTTCACGGCCCATAGACTCCTCTCTGAGTGCAAATCCCGTTGCCACACACATTCAAAGCGCGCCCACACACCGTGTCCAGCCCGCTATGTGCAGCAATCAGGGCGATATAGCCATTCGGCCACTAGCCGCATGCTACAAAGCGTGGGAAGCCATTCCAGGCATTTCCCCGTGGGTACTAAGCATTATAAAGAACGGCTATCTGCTACAGTTTCGCCGCCGCCCGCCTCGTGCGCGCGCGCGGCTCGAATCTACTGTCAGCCCGCTGGCCGCCGGCACGCTCCGCTCAGAAATTGCGACGCTGTTGCAAAAGGGCGCCATAGAGAGAGTCCCACCATCTATGACCGAGTCGGGGTTTTACGGCCGTTATTTTCTGGTTCCCAAGAAAGACGGCGGCCTCAGACCGATTTTAGATCTCAGGTCTTTGAACAAAGTGCTCATGAAGAGACCGTTCAAGATGCTCACTACCAGGAAACTCCTCGCGCAGGTGCGCCAGGGGGACTGGTTCATCTCTCTAGACCTAAGGGAGCCTATTTTCAGATCCAGATAAATCCCCGTCACAGGCCATTCTTACGTTTCGCCTTCGAGGGTCATGTTTATCAATACGCCGTTCTCCCGTTCGGCACATTTACGAAGTGCATGGATACGGCGCTCGCCCCCCTGCGGAGCCAGGGGCTGCGCATATTGAATTATCTGGACGACTGGCTGATTTTGGCCCAATCACAGACGGAGCTTCTGTCGCACCGCGCAGTTCTCCTCGACCATCTGAAAACGCTGGGCCTCTCTGTCAACTGGACAAAGAGCTCCCTTCAACCCAGTCAATCGATTTCCTTTCTAGGAATAGATTTGAACTCGGTCACGATGACGGCTCGCCTGTCTACACAGCGCGCGCGCAGTGTACAGCGACTGGCCGCCTCGTTTCAGATGGGCACCCGCTCACCTCTGAGAACTTTTCAGAGGATGCTGGGTTACATGGCCTCAGCCTCCGCTGTGCTTCAGCTGGGCCTTCTGCACATGCGTCCGCTTCAGCTTTGGTTAAACAGCCGTGTACCCCACCGCGCGTGGAACACGGGCCGCCAGCTGATCAGAGTTACGCAGACATGTCTCACGGCGCTGCAGCCATGGACAGTAGCAGAATGGTTTCGACAGGGCGTCACGATGGGGACCTTTTCCCGCCGAAAAGTCATCTCGACAGATG